TGTCCTCTGTCCCCTCCCTCCTCGCCTCCTCATCCCCGTCTAATTCCCCGTTCTGGACACGTCGATCGCCACGATGGGTGATGGCTCGCGATCGCCACGATGGGCGGTGAGACTGCGAGTCGCGAGCCTGATGGCTTGGTCGGTTGTTTTCCTCCCATCGTTTCCGACCGACGCCCGCTCTCCAGGGGTATCATGTTCGTGTATGTATTCACACGTCTGTCCAGAACGGACGACCACTCTCTCACCATACAACTTGATGCTGTGGAGGGAAAGTGGGAGGGACGATGAGGGACAGGTAGGGTCAGGGAGGTTTGTGCTTGCGATGTCTCCCCTTGGCAGGCTTGGTGCATTTTTTCGTTCACACCTGATGTTGTTTATGTTGCGCTTGATGTGCCATTGTGAATCCTACGCACGTGGGTGTTCGACGTTTTTGTTTGCCCCTCCCCCCCAACCCTTGCGAGGGCAGAGAGACGCACCCTTCGCGTGTCAGGTGACCCCATAGGGATCTCCACCGACGGCCCCAGTGGCAGCGCGTGCATGCGGTTCCACCATCACTGCCGCGCACCCCTTGCACGTTTCGTGGCCTCATATGGGAGCACCACCAAAGGTCCCAATGGCAGCCCCCGCATGCGGCTCCACCATCCCATCCCGTGGTTCAATAGAGTTCTCCACCGAAGGCCCTGGTAGCAGCGCCCGCATGCGGTTCCACCCCCATTTCGGCGCACCTCTCACACGCTCCGTTGCCCCATGCGGAGCTCCACCGAAGGCTCCAGCGGCAGCGCCCGCATGTTCCCCCCGAGCCCGGTGTTCCCCTCACGCGCTTCGTGGCACCATTGGGAGCTCCACCCAAGGTCCCAGGGGCAGCGTCCGCATGTTCCACCCCCCCGAGTTCGGTGCACTTGCACGCGCCGTGGCCCTATAGGGAGCTTCGCCGAGGACGATGTCCACAGCTGCGTTATTCACAACTACATATGGCTAGGTCCGTCGCCCTGGTACTCATTTCCCCAACTATTATGTGCTGAGTTGGGTTCCCCGTTTGAATCAGCGTCGCCCCGTGTCTCCCATCCCCTCCTCTCCTCCTCACCCTCCTCCTCCCGTCCTCCCCCTCCTCTTCTCCCACCGCCACACTTTGGCACACCCCTCTTCACATTTTTCGTGAACCCATAGGAAGCTCCGTCTGAGAACCCAGTGGCTGCGTTCGCATGCCACCCCATTTTGGCGCACGCTTCGCATGCGTCGCGGCTTCATAGGGGTCTCCATCTGGATGCCAACGGTTGCGTTCGCATGTCGCCGCCACCCCACCTTGGCACACCACTCACACGCGACGTGAACCCACAGGACAATCCACCCAAGGCCTCAGCGGCTGCGTTCGCAGGCCGCCGCCACCCCACTTTGGCACACTTTTCATCACACGTTCCGTGGCTTCAGAAAGCTTCACCGAAGGCACCAGTGGCTGCGCCCGTGTGCCGCGCCCACCCCATTTTGGCGCACTCCACAACGTTTCTCGTGGCCCGGGAGCTCCGCCTAAGTCCCCAGTGGTTACGCTCGCGTGCCGCCGCCACCCAATGTTGGGGCATCCTTCACGCGCTCCGTTGCCACATAAAGAAATTCACCTGAAGGCCCCAGAGGATGCGTTCGCATGCCGCCGCCACCCCATGTTGGTGCACCCCTCGTACGACTCGTGGCCCCGCAGGGATCTCCGTCTAAGGCCGCAGTGGCTGCGTTCGCATGCCGCTGACACTTCACTTTGACGCACCTCTTACGCGCTTCGTGGCCCCACAGGGAGCTCCGTCCGAGGCTCCAGAAGCGGCGTTCGCATGCCGCCGCCACCCCATGTTGGTGCACCCGTCATGTGATTCGTGGCCCCGCAGGGAGCTCCGCCTACGGCCCCAGTGGTTGCGCCCGCATGCCACCGCCACCCTATTTTGGGGTTTCCCCCACACGTTTCGTAGCCCGATAGGAAGCTTCACCGAAGGTCCCAGGGGCAGCGCCCGCATGGCGGCCCCGCCCCATTTCGGCACACCCCTCACACGCTTCCTACGTGCGCCGCGGCGGCCCCAGGCGGCGCGTGCTGCCCCTTCCCTCGCCCCTCCGCCCCTCCCCTCCCTTTCCCCCTTCGGCCCATGGTGTCGGCGGCGGCGCCTGCGCTGGGTCATGGACCAGCTCCATCTCGGGCACCAGACGCGGCTATCGGTGTCGCTTTTTCCTGATGGGATGGTGGTGCTGATCAAGACCTTGCCGCGCAAGGACCTTGGCATGAAAAATGGCACAGCTCTGCCGCTATCTGCACTCCTCCTTCTGAGCATGCAGCGAAGCTCATCCCAATGGACGCCGAGATCAGAGCTGGCACGGTGCTGTACAAATTTGGTGTGGAGAATTCGAGTGATGCTTCTCATCCTGGGGAAGGCGGTCCTGGAGCTGGTGTTCATGTACTGTGGGATGGTGTTCGATTGGATGCTGATCGTCGGGGAGGTTTTCTTTTTCCTCAGGGTGACAAGCTAGTCTGGGCTTTAGCTGAGGGCTTCAGGGACGCACGGTCCCTACACGAAGCTGGTCGGCCCCAGGATAACGCACAAGAGGATGTGATTGGCTTGATGCATGATGACTATGTTGACGAGGCCTGTAGGAGCCCTGGTCTTCGCGAGCTTACTGGTGTGGGTGATGTTCGTGTGGACATTGACGGAGATCTTCGTGCGGAGCCGGAGCTTCGGGTGGAGCCAACCGGTGATTTCCGGGCGGAGCCTGATCTTCCTGTGGAGCTTGATCGTCGTGTGGAGCCGGTTCGTGTTCCCCCTGTCATGTGCGCATTTAGTTGATGGTGCCGACGACGCTGACGGTGCCGACGATGGCGGTGAGGGCTTTTTGTTTCAGGTATGCTTTGTCTGTCGCAGTGGGGACCGCGTCCGAGCGACCGTGGTGCATTGCGCCAGCTGGCATTGGGCTGGCTGCGCACGATGCCGGAGGTTGGCGCCCTGGCGCGCTTTCGATTGAAGGCGCAATACATACTTACATGCGAAGTTTCTTGAAGAAGGACGCATACAGCCACACCTTCTCTCTCGAAAAGGAGGTTCGCATTCAGGGACTCTGCTCAAACGCTGAACTCAATGGACCAACAACTTCCACATCGGTGTGGCCCCGAATCACAAACATGGAAGCGGCACTCTGCGCGGTTTGGTGAGTTTACGGATTCTATGTCGTTTCTTGTTTCGCGCCAGGTGTTTGTATTTCAAGTTGATCGCGGGTGACATTGGTTTTTTTATTCGTGTGCTCCTCCATGGCGTTGTGGTACGTTTTCCCTAATCGTGTCGTTGCTGGGCATCTTATGGAGTGGTGGGAGGGCCACCACCAAGAAGTGGTATGAGGCGGCTTTCGTAGTGCGTCCTGGAATCATATGGGGTGGCGTTCGTGCCAGTCACAAGGACTCGTACGTGGGGCCTTGAGAGGCCTAGATCCCGCTGTATTTTCTTGTCGTGATGCTTATTTCCGTCTTGTCTCGTCATCATGTCGCCTCCTTTCGCGTTTCTTGTCCTCCCGCGTTGTCGTTTCTTCGCTTTGGGGTGGTCCTTGGGTCACGTCGGCCTCCTGTTCCTCGTCTTCCCCTTTGGTTCGTCGCCCTTCGTTCAGTTCCACTTGGACCTCCTCCTCCTCCTCCGCCTCCCTCCTCCTCTTCCTCCTCCTCCTCCTCCTCCTCCTCCTCCCGTTCTTCCTGTTCCTCCTGCGCTTCTCATCCTCATCCTCCTCCTCCTCCTCCTCCTCCCTCCTCCTCCTCCTCCTCCTCCTCCCCTTGCTCCTCCTCCTCCTATCCTCCTCGTTATCCCTCCTCCACTTCCTCCTCCGCCTCCTCCTCCTCCTCATCATCATCAGCATCCCCCTCCTCTTCCTCCTCCTCATCCTTCTCCTCCTCCTCATCATCATCCTCCTATCCTTCTCCTCCTCTTCCTCCTCCTGCTCGTCATCATCATCATCATCATCATCATCATCATCATCATCATCATCATCGCATCAGCATCATCATCATCATCATCAGCATCCCCATCCTCCTCCTCCTCCTGACCCTCCTCCTCCTCCTCCTCCTCCTCCTCCTCCTCCTCCTCCTCCTCCCCCTCCTCCCCCTCCTCCTCCTTCTCCCCTCCTCCTCCTCCTCCTCCTGCTGCTCCTCCTCTTCCTCCTCCTCCTCCTCCTCCTCCTCCTTATCCTCCTCCTCCTCTCTCCTCCTCCACCTCCTCCTCCTCCAGTCCTCCTCCTCCTCCCTTTCCTCCTCCTCCTGATCCTCCTCCTCCTCCTCCTCCTCCTCCTCCTCCCTCCTCCTCCTCCCCTTTCTCCTTCCCTTTCTCCTCCTCCTCCTCCTCCTCATCATCATCAACATCATCATCATCATCATCATCATCATCATCATCATCATCATCATCATCATCGTCGTCGTCGTCGTCGTCATCATCATCATCATCATCCTTCTCCTCCTCCTCCCTCCACCTCCTCCTCCCCTGCTCCTCCTGCTGCTCCTCTCTTCCTCCTCCTCCTCCTCCTCTCCTCCTCCCCCTCCTCCTCCACCTCCTCCTCCTCCAGTCCTCCTCCTCCTCCTCCTGATCCTCCTCCTCCGCCTCCTGATCCTCCTCCTCCTCCTCCTCCTCCTCCTCCTCCTCCTCCTCCTCCCCTTTCTCCTCCACTTTCTCCTCCTCTCCTCCTCCTCCTCCTCCTCCTCCTCCTCCTCATCATCATCATCATCATCACAACATCAGCATCACAACATCATCATCATCATCATCATCGTCATCGTCATCGTCATCGTCTCGTCATCGTCATCGTCATTATCATCATCCTCCTCCTCCTCCTCCTCCTTCTCCTCCTCCTCCTCCAATGCTCCTCCAATCCTCCTCCTTCCTCTCCACTATTCCCATTGCTCCTTGTCCCCCTCCTCCTCCTGCCCCCCTCCCCTCCCCAGGCCCCCCCCCGCCTGGGGTTCGCCTGTCCCCCACCCAAGCGCGCGTTGCCCCCAGCAGGAGTGGGTAGCCCAGGGCCCCACCGCGAGGGAGGCGGCCAAAGAGGCGGGCCTGTCCCCCGACGTCTGCGGGGAGGACGACTCGGAGTTCGTGAAGGCCGGGACACCCCCTCCACTCCCACGTTTCCCATATCCCCGATGTCATTGGTCAGAGTCCCGAGTCATCAGGGCCGGGGGCGGTCATGGATATCTACAGATCCGCGCCTCGGACCGCAGTTATCCCGGACTCTTTACCCCTTACCCCAGAGCAGTTACCCCGCACTCCCACGCGTAGCTGCCCCGATACGCCGGCTTTGAAACGCAACACGGACCGTGTTCGAAACGTCTGCGTTCTCACGCTGCGTGTTGGCTGGGCACGTGTTGGCCCATGTTTTGGCGAACGTGTCATGCGCCAAACGTATGTGTTCAGTCTACGTGTGGAGCTCCGTGTCAACACGCTACGGGTGGCGTGTTGCGCATCGGGGCGGCTGAGCTCCCACGATTCTGGACGCGTCGGGGCCCCTCGGGGCGCCGGTGGCGAGGCAGGTGCCCGCGGCTGTGCTGCAGAAGGGGGTTGTCGCGACGCAGGTCCCTGAGATCCAGGCGCTGCAATATTTTCACACCCACGATCTCCAGATTCCCAATGTCAGTCAGAAGCCTTGCACCAGACGGTGCGCTAGCAGAGGTGGAAAATTAATCAAATGGGACACGATTGCACTGCCGACGCCCACGCTCGCGCTGCACCGCCCTCCGGGCGGATCGATGACCCAGGGGATCTCTGGGGATCGATGCTGCCGCAACATTCAGTGCGCCATCTCCGCGTCGATTCAGGACTTGCACTGGGCGCCCGTTCGAATCCTCAGCTCCCCAATTGCGGCGCCCGAAGCAACATTGCTTTTGTCTTGTGCCCCGCAAATTGTAACGCCCACCCCTGGGCTATCCACCCACGTCGTCGTCTCCGAAATGGCACGCTTCTCTTCAATCCGGGAGTCTTTCCTCGATTTCGGCTTCCGGGGCCAGTCATCGGGCCCCGCGGACCCTCAGAAACGGATCCAAGGCGAAAAAGTGTCCCCAGGGAAGGGGTCAGCAGCCCTCATACCAGAGTCAACGCAAACGGAGGTCAGCCAGAGCGCCTGATTTTGCAGGATCCTGCAGAGCCAGGGGTGCACTGACCCAGGCTAGCGCGCAGGATCCTGCAGAATCCAGGATCCTGCAAAGCCCGGCTGACCCGGTTTTACATTGACCCGGGTCAGATGACCCCCGACCCTTCAAATCGTTTTCCCCGTTTTCGTCGCCTTCTTGGCCCCTCCTCTCATCCTCTTTTTCCTGCTGCTCCTCCTCCCCTCCTCCTGCTCCTGCTGCTGCTGTTCCTCATTCCCCTCACCTTCTGCTTCCGCCCTCACTCGCCACCTCCTCCTCGCTTCTGTTTATACCCTCTCCTCGCTTCATCCTCCCTCCTCCCTCTCCACACGCACCCCCTCGCTCGTCCTCGTCCTCCGGTCTGTCCTGTTCATTCCCCTCCTCTTCCAGCCTCCCCTAATCATCATCCTTTCACCTCATTCTCCCCCCCCTGAGTCCCAGATCCGACGTAATCTACTTTCAGCACCTTCCTATCTTGTGTTTTCGGGGTTGGGCCGACCCGAACCTGCCTCACCGACTTCGAACTTCATGCTTCTGAGTTCTCTCGTACCGTCTGTGTTTGAAACTCGAAGGCTTCTCAGGGGCTCACCTGGCCTCGGCCGAAAGCTGGCAAGTGTTGGCAAGATCTTGACCAGATCGCTACAGTCCGGGACATAGTCGTGGTAGTCGCCTTGGTCGGCCACGACGGCGCCGTCGTCGGCTGCATCGTCGTGATCGTAGTTCTCCTCCCCCTCCTCCTCCTCCTCCTCCCCGTCCCTCCTTCCTCCCTCCCTGAGATCCGACAGTACGGACAATACAACATCGAGAGAAGTCACGACCGGAGCCCTAGACTCCATCTTTCTTTGCATGTTTTCGAGCCGGATCGATATGTGGTGGCCCCGGAACCCGAGACCAGGCGAAATCGCCTGGTGTGAGACAATTGCAGCGCGCAGATCTCAGGGCTCGTCTTGGTCATCGCGGTCGGCGCCGCGTTTGTCGCCGCGGCCGTCGTGGTCGCTGCCGGCGCTGGCGCCTCCCCCGCCGATCGACGGTCCTCCGGACGCGTGTTAGCCCAAGCGCTTGTTTACTCCGTTCGGCTCTGCCGACAGCGCGCAGCCTGTGCTTGGCCCTCGTTGTGCCGCCTGCGCTCGCCTCCATCACCGCCCCTGGCGCGCTCCGCGCGCTAGGGAGGGGGCTTCAGCTGAGATCCTAAAAAGCAGCGCGGACCGTCAAATGTGTACGTTTATGTCGTTACTTGCTCCTCCAATTCTGGCGCTAACACGCGGTCTAAGGATCATCGAGCCGAGGCGATGCAGGCTGCCGGGCACGCGGACGCGCGCCTGGCTGGCAGGCTCGAGGAGCTGCGCGCCGAGCACGACGCGCAGAGCACGCGCGGGCGCTCAGCGTCCTGTCGCAGCGGGTATGCGCCGGCGTCGTCGTCGATCGATTCAATCGCTGATCGATTCGTATCGATCCGATGGACGATCGATTCGATCGTCGATTCGATCGATACCGACACCGCTGACCCTTACCAGCTCGAAGCAGATCCCTATCCGCATGATCGCACCTCCAACCTCTGTCGTCGTTTGCTCTTTCCCGAGTCAAGCAACCTTGATCGTCGGTTGTCGATCGAGGTCCGAGGTTTCGAAGAAAGCGAAGTGTATAAACACGATCTTTCGGAGGTCCGTGCGGATGTTCTGGATCTGTGCTGGAGTCCCTCTCCTGGGGGCGCCTTCGGCGCTGCCCCTGACGCGTTCTACGCGCCAGGGAGGGGGGTCCAGCAACGATTCTTCTTCTTCGAGTCCTCGATGGACGATCGACGTTTGGAGACTCCAAGAAGAAACAACGACGTTCGAGGTTGGAGTTTCGAGGGCGCTGGTGTTCCCGCCCTCGGCATTTGTGGGCGCCCTCGCTCAGAAGAGCAAGGGGTCATGATAATGATACGTTCCTGATTTCCAAGGTATTCCGCATCCCAAGTTCCCAAGATTCCCCCGTGTTCCGCACGGGCTCCAGAAACGAAGGCCGCTAGAGACTCTGGAAATCCTGGAACGCATCCTGAGCCAATCTGACCATGACATCATGCTCGTCCCACTCGCGGCCACAGCTGGATTCGCATCAGGAGGCTCCCCTGGGTCCCGCGGAGGCGCGAGGATATCGCGCTTCGCGCGTCTCGGTCTGGGCGGGAGACCAGCCCTTCTCCGAGAGGGATTTCCTGCCCCAGGACTGGCTGCTCATCCCGGGTCCTCTCTTGATTGCCCCAGGGCCCAGCAGGGGCCCCCCGGGGCACAAGCCTGACAGCAATTTGCCGTCGCTTCCCAGACAAACTTGACAGAACCTTGACGGAGACTTGGTTTCGTCAGAGCGAGGGGAGGCCTGGTATTCCTTCGCGCCCTGCGGGGGAGACCGAGGCTCCTCGATGGGCTGTACAGCTGGCTCGCCTCGCCGCTGTCGCTGCTCTACGACCCGGCCCTGCTGCGCAAGGCGCGGGGCGCGGAGGAGGGAGGAATAGAAGAAGGAGACCGAAGTATCGACGGTGCGCCGTTCACGGGCCCGGAGGGGAGAGGAGGGAGGAATGGAAGGAGAGTCGATGCATCGGCGCTGCACCGCTCGCCAGCGCGGAATGGTGAGGAGGCAGGAGCACGTACAGTCGGACAGAGGTATACGATCGAGGTGAGTTCCGGGTTTCACGCAGGAGCCGCGGGAGCGAATGTGTGGTAGTTTCGGCGTGTGGACGCGGAAACTCGCAGTCCAGCACCGCTGTTTCGGCGGGATGCGCTCCTGCAATGATGTATTGCAGAATCACGACGAGACCTGCGTATCGGTGTCCATCGGCTGTCCGCGTCTTCAAACAAAAAAAAGATCGAGGTGAGTTCGGGGACGGTGCCCTAGTGTTCTTCGTGTGGTTGGATGTTCTTGTGCATCCTGGAAAGGGTACCCTTGAATGGTCTGTTCGTTTTGGCCGACGGAGGGTCTCATGTTCTTAAGAGATGTTTTGTTGGCCTCGGTCCGACTGTACCAGGAGGATCAATGCATAGGCGACGTTGGGCGATCCTCCGACGCCGTCTGGTCGGGCCCCACTTGAAGCGGCTTCCAGCGGAGGGAAGCGAAGGGTCTTGTGCGAGACAGATCCTGCAGGCTGTTTGGATCGGCTTCGGCCTCCCATCGTGTCGAACCTTCCGATCATTTTCCCTCTTCGCCCTATCATGTACACGTTTCTTTTTTTTTCCCGGAAAGGGCGTGGGCCCAGGGTTCTCTTTTAGTTGGTTAACCCCCCGGCCCCCCTGCGACTTGGGCCGGCGAAATTATTTTGCGAGCGGGCACGCACGGAGTAGGGCCGGCGAAAGTATGTTTGAGGATGTCTCGAGCGAAACGCTTGTTTTTCAGAATTTGTTGAGGATGTCTCGAGCGAAACGCTGGTTTTGCAGAGTTGGGGATGTCTCGAGCGAAACGCTTGGTTTCAGAGTTTGTTGAGGATGTCTCGAGCGAAACGCTGGTTTTGCAGAGCCGACCGCGACACGGAAAAGCGCTCCTCGCGCAGGAATTCCGAGGATGTCTCGCGCGTGCCGCGTCCCGCACGCAGGAATTTTGATTTCTTTGGGTTTTGACAGGATTTCTCAAGCGAAACGCTTGTTTTTCACAATTTGTTAAGGATTTCTCTAGCGAAACGCTGGTTTTGCAAAATTGGGGGATGTCTCGAGCGGGGGCCTCGTGGGGGGCCAGAATTCAGAGGATATCTCAGGCGCAATGCTTGTTTTCGTGTCCCGCTCGCAGGAATTCCGAGGATGTCTCGCGCGTGCCGCGTCCCGCGCGTAGGAATTCGGATGATTGTGATAGGATGTCTCGAGCGAAACGCTTGTCCCCAGCACGTTCAGTAGCGCGTCCCCTTGGCACGTCCCGCGTTGCGACCCCATGGCACGTCCCCTGGCACGTCGCCTGGCGCATCCCTTGGGACGTTTCGCGGCGCGTCCTCCTGGCATGTTCCCCTTGTCCATTAGCTCTGGGGCAGCTACTATGTGTTCAGGCAGCTCGAGCTTAAGATCCAGATCAGTTCGGTCAGGACTCGGATGCAAAGGAGGACTCGATCCACGACGCTATAGAGCACAACCGCGGCATGGCACATCGCAATTCAGCACGGTGCAGCACAGCACAGCCCTCGGCAGGGTACATCAAGATCGATACACTCAGCATTGCAACTTGGCACGTTCCTTGGCACGTTCCGTGGGGCGTCCCTTGGCGAGTCCCCCTGGCACGTCGCGTGGCGCGTCCCCTGGCACATTCCGTGGCACATCCATTGGCACGTTCCGTAGCGCGTCCCTTTGGCACGTCCTACGGTGCGACCCCATGGCGCGTCCCTTGGCACGTCGCCTGGCGCATCCCTTGGGACGTTTCGCGGCGTGTCCTCCTGGCATGTTCCCCTGTCCATTAGCTCTGGGGCAGCTGCTATGTGTTCAGGCAGCTCGAGCTTAAGATCCAGATCAGTTTGATCAGAACTCGGATGCAAAGGAGGACTCGATCCACGACGCTATAGAGCGCAGTCGCGCCATGGCACATCGCAATTCAGCACGGCGCAGCACAGCACAGCCCTTGGCAGGGTACATCAAGATCGATACACTCAGCATTGCATTTGCCCGTCACCCAATCAGGTGTCTTTGAAAACGCTGCCATGTGTTACAGTTCTATATTCCTTTCCGGGTTCGTGGGTCGATCATGTCTCCCTCTGCTCGCCCTGTTCTGTTCATCCTGCTCCGATCGCTTCCCCTTGTTTCCGGATTCACCCTCTCCCCCCACTCGTTGTCTTCCTTCTCCTCCGTCTCTTCTCGTCTTCGTGTTCCTCTCTTCTCGTCTTAATGCTCTCCCCCTCTCCCCTTCTCCTTCTCCACCTCTTCCTCCTCCACCTCCTCCTCCTCCTCCTGGTTCAAGCCGCTGTGGTCCCTGAGCGCTCTGAGACGAGATGGGTTCGATTTGCCAGGCCAATGCATCGACCTTGCCCGCATTGGCAAGAGCAAGCCTTTCACAATGTGCCATGAGAGCTGCGGGCGCTGGCTCTTCAACTGGCGGCTGGACAAGCAGGGCGGGAGGTGCCAGTACGGTGCGTGGCTGGCGCCCTTCTCCACAGCCGCAGCCAAGGCACCGTGGCGCGAACAGCGGTGGCCTGCTGGTGGGCGTGGGAACGCGGGCGATGCGGGCATCCTCTGCCGCCCAATGCCAGGCGAGAGCCCGATGGAGCACGCGATCGCCATCATGGCCAAGCACGACCCCAAGCTGGGCCCCACGCTGCGCGCCGAAATGGTGAAGATGAAGGAGCGTCCGCCACCAGCCGCCGAACCGCCCAAGGACCTGTGACAGGCCCCTTTTTTCCCAGGCGAAAGAGGCACAGCAACGCAAGGCCAAGGAGTTGCAAAAGGCCGGGGGGGAGCTGCAGGCCAAAGAGCATGCTCTACAGCGAACCTCGGTGTTGCGGGACGAAGCCTGCGAGGCCAACCAGGCCCGCGAGCTGGCATCCGAGGCTGATTGCAAGGCCACCACTGGTCTCGGGCAGAAGGTAGCCGCCGTGGAGCCAGTTCTACATTTGGAGATGGACCATCAGCTGCTGGAGGACCTCGACGACTATGAGGACGGCGCGCTCAAGGAGGATATTGCCGCCTTCCGCAAGGTCAAGGAAGTCCAAGGAGGGGTGCGGGTTGCCCTGCAAGCGCACCGCGACTCTTTGGCCCGCCATGCCGACGAGGCCCAGCGGTTTCCGGAGCAGGCAGCGCTGCTGGACCAGCAAGACCCTGCCGACCCTCAAGAAGAGGAAGGTGGGGGACGAGGCGGGCGCCGCGGCCCCACAGGCAGCCAAGCAGGAGGAGCCAGAGCCTGCGACGCCGCACCGGCAGTGGCCTGCCCCACTGTCAGCGGCGGAGCGCCAATCCAGAGATGAGGACATCGACAGCCTCAAGTGCACCACTCAGCAGGCGGTCAGCGCCAAGAGGCTGGGCGCCGCCAAGGGCCAGGCCAAGGCTGTCAAGGCGGCAACTGGTGCTGGGGCTGCTGATCGGGACGATGCTGCCCCCACTCCTGGGGCGCCCTCCTCCCGCGGCCCCGGGCAGCGCCCCTAACCAACCGACGCAGACGACGCTCCAAAAGGACGGGGCGGCCACCCCTGCAGGACCATCGACGAAGTCCGAGAAGGGCACGAGAGGAGGCGAGTGGGAACTGATTCGGCCCCACCGGGAGACGACTTCCCCTGGGGTGAAGCGCGCGGCTGCCCCCCTTTTAGCGGCTCCAGCCCGATGACGCTGAACTTGCGCTCGGGCAACTTCGCGTCGGCCCAAATCTTCCCAGGTATTCCCTTCGCCGCGGGAGTCGACGCCTCCCGCTTCAAGGTGCCGACAAGCCTCCTGAAGGCCCTGGCGGACCCATGGCTGTTCATGGCGGTCTGGAACGTGCCTCGCAGCAAGTTGGAAGCCCTGGGCTGGGCGGACCTCGTGGACGGCGTCGCCCCGCCACCGCCTGGACGCAGCCAGGCGCGCGACAAGGGCCAGGGCGGCGCGAGCGACTGCGGCGTTGCGCCGAACACCGAGAGCAAAAGGTCACGGCGCAGGGCGGCAGAGCAGGCGGAGAAGCAGTCGCCGGAGCAGCAGGCACCGCCCCCAGGCCCTGGCACACACCCTCCTCGACCTGTCGGCCTGGGTGCGCAGCGGGCAGGGGCGCTGGTAGACAAGGGCCCGCCCCCGGCGGAAGCCCGGCCCCCTCCCCCACCCTGGGGGCGGCGTTGCAGCGCAGGGGGGCGCCGGCGCAGAGGGGGCGGGCAGGCCGCGATCGTGGGCGGCGGCCACGGCGCCAGGGAGGCCCTCGCGAGCAGGTGCGGGCCAGCGACAGCGTCTGCCTCCGCGTCGCGCCCCCCCCCCCTGAGCCTGGAGCGGAGCAGCCGCGCGTGCCTCCAGAGCCGGGCGGAAGAGATCTCCGCGCCCTTGGAGGCGCTGCAAGCACCGAAGTGCACGGGAGTGGTTCATTCACGAGAGGCGAAGACCACGGCGCAGTGGAGAGTCGCGGGAGCTACCGCAGCGCTCATGGTTCGGAGCTGAGGCCGGATCGAGTCGCCCGGGGCGGTGGAGAACACAGCGCATTGAAGAGTCGCGGGGGCGACCATCGCGGCGCGCGCGGTCCGGGGCCACCGGTGGCCCGCGAGGCCCGCGGGCGCCTCGGCCCCCCCGCCGGGCGCCAGCATGGGCGGGGAAGGCCGCCCGTTCGAGGAGACCGACAGCCCCGGCGAAGGGAATTAAGGCCCTGCGAGCGCAGGTCGCACCACCGCCGGGATCGGCGCGCGGCCCCGGGGTTGACGACGAGGCCCCCGCCTGGAGAAGAGGGGCCGCAGGTCCCTCCAGAGTTGCGCGAAGGCGATTCATTTGCCGCCAGGGGCGCCAGAGGCACTGAAGCGCATGGGGGCGCGCGGATGGAGGGGCTGGCAGTCCGAGACCGAGCCGGGGGTCGACGCGGAATCGTAGATTGCTAATGCGCGGCTGAAGGTCCGTGCGCGAGGCCCCCCTTCGCCGCGCAGCGAGGCCCGCGGGCGCCTCGCGGCCCTCCACTGGGCGCCAACATGGGCGGCGACTGCGGCCCGTTCGAGGAGACCGGCAGCCTGGGCGATAGGAAGACCCAGCCAGCGCAGGCTGCACCTCCGTCGGGGTCGACGCGCGCGGCTTCGAGGTTGACGACGAGGCCCCCCCCCCGGAGAGCGGAGGGGCCGCAGGCGCTTCCGGAGCAGCGCGAAGGCGATCTATTTGCTGCGGGGGGCGCTGAAGGCACGGATGCGCATGGGGGCGCGCGTGCGGCAGGAACTGGCAGTCCGAGACCGAGCCAGGGGCCGAATCGTGGATTGCTACTTCAAGTTGATGTGGCTGGAGGTCCGAGCGCGAGGCCTGCGGGCGCCTCGCGGCCTTCCCGCCGGGCGCCAACATGGATGAGGACTGCGACCCGTTCATGGAGAACGACGAGATAGGCGAAGGCGTGATCTCGCCAGCGGAGGCTGCACCATCGCCGGGACCGGCCTCTGCAAGAGCGGCCCCGAGGGCGACGGCGAGGCACCTCCCTCGAGGGAAAGGGCCTCGCGCACCTCCAGAGCAGCGCGGAAGTGATCCACGCGCCCCTGGATGCCAGAGGCACAGAGGTGCAGGGAAGTGCAGGTCGCGTCCGAGCCAGGGGAACATATGGACACGTAGATTGCGAGTTCAAGAGAAAATGGCTGAAGGTCCGAGCGCGAGGCCCCCATCGCCGCGCAGCGCCGCCAGCCGGTGCCAGCGGCACCCGCGGGGCGCCAACGTAGGCGGGGGGGTGCGACCCGTTCGATGGCATCGCGGAGGGCGAGTACGGCAGAGACTAGGAGGAGCAGCAGTCGGCGCAGCCGCTGGCGCGCGCAGAGACCCCAGAAGCTGCCGCATCGGGGCATCCAGGTGGCAGCCCATCTGCGCGAGCGGATGGTTGCCCTAATGGCGGGTCCCTGCCGGGACCCGCGCCTCGAGGCGCCGCGGTTGCGACGGCCGCTGCGAGGTCTGGCCGCCCCGCGATGGGCGGCGAGCCCGAACGCGCGGCAGCTGGAATGTTGCGCGCGGCTTGCGGTTTGAGGGGGGGGGGGCGGCGACGGCGCGAGCAGGGGCGAGGGGCGGCGGCGCAGGCCAGGGCGGATGGCCAGGGAGCAGCCCAGAGCACCTGGCGGCCCCGCCCGCATGACAGGCGCAGCCCGCCGACCGCTCCGACGGCGGGCAGGCCCACCAGGCTCGAGGAGCACGCGGCAGCGGGAACTTTGCACGCGGCCTGTGTTTCGCGGGAGTACGGCAATTGCATGCTGAACAGCAGGAGCGAGGGGCGGCGGCGAGGCCAGGGCGGATTGACAGGGGGGCGGCCCAGGGAGCGCCCAGCGGCCCCGCCACAGCCCGCCGACCGCTCCGGACGCAGGCCCGGCCACCAAGGGCGCGGAGGCCGAGCTGTGACTGGCAGCGGCTCCTGCGGCCAGCCAGGTCGACGACGACCTGAAGGAGCAGGGCGCCACGCAAGGGATCGTGGCCGTCGCAACCCAGCGGAGGAGCGGATGCGAGAGCGGGGCTGCAGCAACGCAGCCGGCGCGAGCGCGCCAAGCCCACCGACCACCCGTTGCAGACTGCCCTCCACGCTGCCAGCGAGGCCTGCCATGCCTCGTCTCAGAGGCGCGCCAGGTGGGCCACTGTGCTCGAGGAGGTCACCATCCAACATGATGGGGCCCCAAGAGCCGCAAGCCGACGCAGCCCGAGGCCGCGTTCAAGGCGCGCGGCACGTCGCCCAGCAGACCAAGGCGACCGTCGGGCGCGCTCACTTTGCCAATCCTGTCGCAGAGTGGTGGGCTTTCGTGTCGGCGGCCACAGGGAGGGCACGCGCGCTGGCCAAGAACGGCACCGACTCCACGCAAGCCAAGCGCAGCCGCGACACTGCGGTCGCCAAGGCTGAGGAGCACGGCCTCAACACCGACGCGGGCCTCGCCAGGGCCACGGATGACTTCGGCAGAAGGCGCGTCCCCGAAGAGGTGGCGCACCGGCGCCAACTGCCGCGTCGTATCCACGACCTGAGCTCCGAGGACTTCGAGCAGTTCAATGTCGCCACGGCCCGCTGGGCTGCGCCCGCTGCCAGCAGGGCGCAGGCCCGCGCAGGGCGCCAGCGCGCCAAGCGGGTCAGCACCACATGGAAGACGGCGCATGGGCTCGTCCACAAGCAGGTCAAGGGCGACAAGCCAGCGACCCTCGAGGCCGCCCTGCCCGGCGAGACGGTGGCCGACCCTCTGCAGATGGAGCTGCGCGAGGCCACGTGGGGCGCGACGCGACGATCACCCCCCCGATGAATGGGGAGCTCGGACACCGGCTCCAGCGCGCGGCAGCCCGAGCGCAGGAGGAGGAGCTGGAGGGGCACGCCGCGCAGAGCGCGAGGCAGGCGTCACTGGCCGTCCCCGCAAGGTACGAGATGGGCGTGGACGCCCTGCGCAGATCGATTGTATCACGTCCACCTGGCGTCGCGGTGCAAGAATGGGTGGACATGATGATCCAGGTTGAACAGGACCTGGCGCGGCCGAGGCAGGTGCACGCTGCCCTCCTGGCCCTCCTGCCCAAGTCCCGAGGCTGGGACCGCGCGATAGGCGTCCTGTCACTGCTGATCAAGTGCCGGTCGAAGGCGCGCGCGTCGGCCACGGGCGCCTGGCCCGACGGCCTTGAGCAGCACTGGGGCGTCTCACTCGAGGACAGCAGCGCACTGCGCGCTGCCCTCTGTTGGCCCATCCTCGACGAGAGCGCGGTGGCCATGGGCTTCTGCGCCGTCGAGGCCTTGTTGGACCTGGGGGAGTTTTTCGCGGCGGCAACCTAATCCTGCGGAGGTCGAGGTCGATGGGCAGGAGGTCCCCCCCGCCGCGGCCACCCCCTTGGAGGCCCGAGCCAACCTTGCGCCTTGGCGGCTGCGACGGCGCGCATGGACCAGCGGGGCCATTGGGGCGGAGCGCCCCATCGTGGCAGGCAGCAACCGCGGCGTGAAGGTGGCCGAGCGTTTCCTGCACCCGTTCCTCCAGGCGGCCAGCGCGGGCGCCCCCGCAGTCGGCCTGGGCGCCTTCGTCGACGGCGCCATCTTCCGCGCGGAGGGCAAGAAGCAAGCAGCCATTGACAGCATGGGCGACGCCATGAAGATATCCGCTAAGCAGCGCGAGGCCCCCAAGCTGACGCCATCGCCCAAATCCGTCGTAGTTTCTCTGGCGCGACGAGGAAGGCAGCACAAGAGCCCAGACGTCACGGTGCACCAGCGGCAGCGGACAGCCACGCCGTTGATCTCGGAGCGGGCACTACGGCGAGCCAGAGGCGCGCCCGGGCCAGAGCCAAGCAGCGAGGCAGAGCAGGGGCAAGGCGCATCCAGGGCATCCATCGCATGAGAAAGCGAACCCAGCTGGGCAAGTACGCCGCCAATCTGCACCGCGCAGGGGCCCAGCCTGCGTTGATATACGGCCACCATGTCCTCGGCACGGCCTCCGCGATGTCTAGAGATGGCGACAGTTGGCCGTAAGTCACAGGCTAACATGGGTCATGGTAACGAATGAGCGCGCACTCTTGAAACAGATGGTTGAAAAGACGATGACTTACTAAAGCGACGAATGGATGCATCTAGTTGCGCCGCCTGATCAGAACAAGACAACATCATTTCGCAAACGCAAGAACCGGATTACCAAAATCAAAAACGGATGTGGTAAATTTGGGGCCTTTTGTTCTATACCCCAGTTCTTATCATTACCGTGACCTGAGTGGCTCGATCAGCGAGGGCCGTCGCTGGCATGTGCTTCGGTGGGTGGTTGAATACCCATTCGCAATGCTCCTGGACGACAGCGATCCTGGCCTGGCTCTACCTCGGCAGCCACTGGCAGAATGGTTGCAACATTGGCACCTGTACCCTGGGCACCATCGCCGAGTGAAGCGGCAGGGCGCATGCTGCGCGCTGGCCCCAAGAGCCGACCTCCCGCCAAGCGATGGGCCAAGGTCAAGGGGGGGATCTCGGCGGTCATCTGCACGCTCCCCACAAACGACTGGGATGCTTCTCGGGCGACGAGCGGGAGCCGGACATTGGCCAGCTTTGGATGGGCAGCCTTGAAGAGGTGGATGCTACCGAGCTCCTCGATGATATCGGTGCCTGTATCAAGCGCGATTGGAGGACGAAAGGCCCGCGGCACGAAACAGGTAGTGGTATTCAAGACGGCGCTGGCTTTCACCAAGTACGGCGGCAGTTGGCTCGTCTTCAGAGAGATGGACAACATTCCATGTGGGCGATTGTTTGCAAGTGGTTGCTGGAGCGTCGTGGCCGCGCGTGAGGCGACGCGCTAGATGCCTTGCAGATAGCGCTCTTTCACCGTGTATGGTCGTTCCCGTGCAACGTGGACTGCGCCGACTACACCTCCGCGCCGCGCAGGTTTTGCTGCCGCGCGCGCTCGAAAAGCAAGCGCAGACGCCCTGAATGCGGCTACGCGGGGGGCCACCTGCAAGCTGGACCAGGCACGAGCACCCCGAGGGCGCCGCGGATTTCCAGAGGTGCACTGACGACTCGTAGACCGTGGAGCTTCAACGGCACTGCGAAAGCGATTTGGACAGACAACGGCTCGGGCGATAAGCACAGTGACTACCCTAGGCTACGCCAGTGCGGAGTCGGGGTCTCCATCCTGACGGCGTTCGCCGTCAATGCAGAGGCGCCGCAGGAGGTAGCGGGCATCATGGCAGACCTGCCTGGACCTCGGCCGACGGTGCCTCGTTCGGAACTGCTCGCTTATATCCAGTCCTTGCGCATACCAGCGGCCCCCTGCGGCACCACGCCGACAACATGCCTCTCGTCCAGGGATGTGCCCGCAGGAGGCATTGGCCCCGCGAGGGCCAAATTCTTACTTGTGGATCGCCAGCCGAGCGGAGCTGACAAAAAGGCGAGCGAGTGATGTGCGGATCTTTTTCCCGGAAAGGGCGTAGGCCCAGGGTTCTCTTTTAGTAGGTAAACTTGTCCCCGGTGCCTCAACTGAGGTGGGCCGGCAAATTCTTTCTTTTATAAATATCGAGGTCAAGGTGGGCTGGCGGATTAGAAATTTAGGATGTCTCAGGCGAAACCCTTGTTTTTGAAATCCCGATCGATAAATCACAGGGTGCGGGCCACTCTTTCGTGTGTTGAGGATGTCTCGTGCGAAACGCTTGCTCCGCAGAGTTACCGAGGATGTCTCGAGCGAATCGCTTGTTTTGTAGAACTTGAGGGATCTGGGCGCACCAGAGATTTGCCTTCTCCAGGTGCACGAGCCCGTGTGTTTTTACGTATGTGCCTGTAGATTTGCCCTCTCCAGGTGCACGAATCCTTGTGTTTTTACGTATGTGCGTATAGATTTGATTTCTCCAGGGGCGCGACCACCCCCCAGCACGACCACACCCCAGCACGACCACCCCCCAGCACGACCACACCCCAGCACGACCACTCCCCAGCACGACCACACCGCCTTGGTTGAGTGGTTGCCTGTCGTCGTGGAATGTTTCGTGGGGTGTCTCGTAGACTGTTTCGCGGGGTGTCTCGTGGAATGATTCCAAGAAAGCGTTGAAAACGGTCGCCCGTGTCTCGTGGAATGTTTCGCGGGGTGTTTCGTGGAAGTGCCCGTCGCCCAATACGGTGTCGTGAAAACGTTTCCATGCATGCGGTTGTATATCCCTTTCCGGGTTCGTGGGTCCATCATGTTTTGTTCACAGCCATCAACCGGATGAGCTAACGGGTCACGAGACCCCCTACCAGTTGTGGCACATTGCGGGCAACGGTTGTGCCGACGTGAAGCGGGTGAAGTCGCCGCCGAGGTCTTGCGCAAAGCATCGTGAAGCCCGAGGTCGGACGCATCGGTAAGACCGCCCATTTAGTCCGTCGTCGCGCGGCCCGAGCCAGCCTGGAGCGTATGACCCTTGACCCTATCAAAGTTATGAGGCCAAAAGTCCACGTCCAGGTACGCAGGCCCTGCTGACTGCCTCGTCGCACCACGAGTTGGAGAGGGTGGGGGCCAGGTGATATTGCAGGATCTGTGATGGCGCGGCCGTGCATGCGGACCTGGAGTTGTTTGCTCAGCCCGAGTGCAGGCCCATTCAGTGTGCTAGAGCAGGAGCTGTGTGTATCCACCGTCGTCGTCGTCGCGGAGTGTGGGAGGGAAAGCTCCGCATGGCACGCACACCCGTGTGTTGATTGTATGATTTTCACGTTGTGCAGCCGTTGCGGGTATTATACCAGTATGTATGTTGACAAATTGCCTTGGCCCCGCACGGCTGAAGGCAACCAGAATCTTGCCAAACTTCAGCAGGGTTTGTGGCCGCACCACACAGGGATACCCACACAGATCCGTGAGGCGTTGCATCAGAGAGATGCGCAGCGCGCAATTGCCGAGGACAATAGCAGAGTAGCATCGCTGGGTGCCCGTGCATCGCAAGTTTCAGGTAACCTTTCCAGGTAATCCTCCTCCTTCTCCTCCTCCTCCTCCTCCTCCTCCTCCTCCTCCCCTTCCTCCTCCTCCTCCTCCTCCTCCTCCTCTTCCTCCTCCTCCTCCTCGTACGCCTCTCCTCCTACTTTTTCTCCTCCTCCTCCTCCTCCTCCTCCTCCTCCTCCTCCTCCTCCTCCTCCTCCCCCTCTTCCTCCGCACCTGTGAAAGTTCCTGCCTCGTCGCGTTGCCTTCCGCTCCCTGCCGGGGGGGCAGCCAGCCTTAGATTGCGCGTTGCCGCTTTAGCCCTGTGTGGGTCTGAAGGCCGCCCCCCTCGCCCAGCCGGGGTCTGGTGGTCTGTGGACGTCAGAAAGCAGCTCTTGGCGGGAGAGAGTCCCAGTGTTGAGAAGGACCGGCCTCGGGACATGACCAACGCCAGTTTCTGCCTACTTTGAACAGGACTCGTTGTCAATGCTGCCGCGGAGGTTGTCTTTTCCTGGAAAGGGCAGAGGCCAAGGGTTCTCTTGCGATAAATGACGAGTTTGAAGGAGGCCAGCGGAATTATTGTTGAGGAAGTCTCGAGCGAAACGCATGGTTTTCAGAATTTGTTGAGGATGGCTCCAGCGAAACGCTGGTTTTGCAGAGTTGGGGGATGTCTCGAGCGAAACGCTTGTTTTTCCCGGAAAGGGCGCGGGCCCAGGGTTCTCTTTTAGTAGGTTTACCCCCCGGCCCCCCTGCGACTTGGGCCGGCGAAATTATTTTGCGAGCGAGCACGCACGGAGTAGGGCCGGCGAAATTATTTTTGAGGATGTCTCGAGCGAAACGCTTGTTTTTCAGAATTTGTTGAGGATGTCTCGAGCGAGACGCTGGTTTTGCAGAGTTGGGGATGTCTCGAGCGAAACGCTTGGTTTCAGAATTTGTTGAGGATGTCTCGAGCGACACGCTGGTTTTGCAGAGCCGACCGCGACACGGAAAAGCGCCCCTCGCGCAGGAATTCCAAGGATGTCTCGCGCGTGCCGCGTCCCGCGCGCGGGTATTTGGATTTCTTGGATTTTGACAGGATGTCTCGAGCGAAACGCTTGTTTTTCATAATTTGTTGAGGATGTCTCGAGCGAAACGCTGGTTTTGCAAAATTGGAGGATGTCTCGAGCGGTGGCCTCGTGGGGGGGCCAGAATTCAAAGGATGTCTCAGGCGAAATGCTTGTTTTCTGGCACGTCGCTTGGCGCGTCCCTTGAGACGTTTCGCGTCGCGTCCTCCTGGCATGTTCCCCTGTCCATTAGCTCTGGGGCAGCTACTATGTGTTCAGGCAGCTCGAGCTTAAGATCCAGATCAGTTCGGTCAGGACTCGGATGCAAAGGAGGACTCGATCCACGAGGCTATAGAGCACAATCGCGCCATGGCACATCGCAATTCAGCACGGCGCAGCACAGCACTGATTTCGGCACGGTACATCAAGGTCGATGCACTCAGCATTGCAACTTGGCACGTTCCTTGGCACGTTCCGTGGGGCGTCCTTTGGCGAGTCCCCCTGGCACGTCGCGTCGCGCGTCCCCTGGCACATCCCGTGGCACATCCATTGGCACGTTCCGTAGCGCGTCCCCTTGGCACGTCCCGCGGTGCGACCCCATGGCACGTCCCCTGGCACGTCGCCTGGCGCATCCCTTGGGACGTTTCGCGGCGCGTCCTCCTGGCATGTTCCCCTGTCCATTAGCTCTGGGGCAGCTACTATGTGTTCAGGCAGCTCGAGCTTAAGATCCAGATCAGTTCGGTCAGGACTCGGATGCAAAGGAGGACTCGATCCACGAGGCTATGGAGCACAGTCGCGCCATGGCACATCGCAATTCAGCACGGCGCAGCACAGCACAGCCTTCGGCAGGGTACATCAAGATCGATACCTTCAGTAGTGCATTTGCCCGTCACCCAATCAGGTGTCTTTGAAA